CAGCAGTTAATATTTGTAGCATGCATTAAACATTAAAAACATTCTCTGAGGGTGAAGCACTGTTATTGGGCCAAAGCCTGGGATCCATTCTCAGCTCTTACTTGGGCTCAACTCCCAGCTGCTGAATTGTAACAGAGTGAGAACATCATTAGCCCATTATTATTAGGCTGCTAATAATTTCCTGACACATGGGATTGATTTGGAGCTTGGTTCTGTCTGGTAACATCTGACCAACCTGGAAGGAACTGGGGGAGACAGCATGGGCCTGACAGCTTCCACAGAACATTGCCAGGCTGCTTAGACTTTGCAAGGTCCCTTCCCTAGAAACTTACAGCGTAATGGGTAAAGTGGGCAGGCTGTGCAGATGCAGTGTAGGCAGAGGTGAGGGTGTAGAGGTGAGAATGCAGAGAAGGCAGAGCTGGAGGTGTGCACTGTGGGGCAGGACTGAAATTCATTGGCAGAATTAGGTGAGGAGCTGGGGAGCCAGGAGGAGCATAATGGAGGTCTATGAGCTGGGCCTGAGGGGCAAAGGTGTAGGATAGCAGTGAGAGGGCAGATTATGGGGCAGGATTTGGTGGTGCTGACAGAGCTGTTTTGGGAGAAGCTCAAACAGTGTTTGTTTCCACAATAGTTTGAAGATGCCCAGGGCTGCAAACCAGCTTTCAGACTGTATTTAGATTCCTGAACAATTCCTGTCTAGACTGAGCCTGGCTAGCAAGTGCCATTGGGCCGTTTCAAGAGCACCCAAACAGCAGGGAAAAAGCTCTTTAGTGTACTCAGGGTGAGACCTGCTGACTAGATACAGGTCAGTGACTCATCCATGAGAAATCACAGGCTGCCCAGATGGGCAGGCCCAGCCAGTGGTCTCTGGGTGGCTTTCACAAACAAGGGAACCTGGATGAATCATTCTTTAAAATAAAATTAAAATGAAACACCGAGTCAGCACCGCAGCTTGTGTGAATGGGCACAGCTCCCCTGACATCAGCGGGTTATGGTAATTTACATCAGCCAAGGATCTGGGCAGGAAGGAGCGTAACAGATGCAGAGAGAGAGAGCGCGAAGGTGCCTGTCAGTGAAAACCCTGCATAGCATAGGAGGTGACGTCCTTCATACACTGGACACGCTCCATCTACCACGACACCTCAGTGTAACAGCAAGAGGCGGAGGGGTAAGCACAGCCGCTGGAGGTGTCATTCTTCATAGGCTGGACATGCTCCATCTGTCAGCAGCTTGGGATGGTATCACAGGGCTCTGTGCTCTTGAATAGACTGTTCTGCAAAATTCTGGACACGGTCCATCTACCCCCCAACATGGTGCCCATCAATCACCGGACCAGGGCATCCAGGAAAGTCACCCAGGGTTGACTGTGAGTGAAATATTCCTTTTTTCCACAAGCAGCTCCTGCTTATAAATTATGAGCTGCAATGTCAAAAACCAGAACCCAGGAGTTAATCAGAGAACTATTCCAATATACTACCAGTGATGGCTGAAGAAATTAAAATTACCCCATCTGGGCAAAGGGGAACCCTGGGGTAGTTGTGTGGCACAAGAGGAATTCTGGGATATCACCCCTGTGGCACAAGAGGGAGGGGACAGCTGAGGTATCACTCTCCCTGCTGTTTGAGGCCATCTCTCCCAGGCTGCACAGCCATGCTCCTGTCACAGGCCTTTCTTTCTGCAGTCCTAGCCCTTTCCTCCCCAGTACACCTCTATCCCAAGCTTCCACCTCCGTTATTCCAGTCCTATGCCTTTGCCAGGCTGAGCCATCAGCCTGTGGAACCAGGCAGTGATGTGGGATGTGGACAATAACTCTTTGTATGATGCATCTAAACTACCGCTTTGTGGTTTCCCCACAACTCACTGTACTTGCTTATTCGCCCTTGGTAACGTTGCTGCTCTCACTCCCTTCCTGCCACAGATGGAATGTCTCCGCTTCTCCATCCTCATCTGTGTGACCGCTTCAGGATATAAGTGTGGGGAGGCAAAGGCCCCAAGGAGCCTTACTGAGACCATCAAACTCATTTCACTCATGCCACCATTAGAATTTCAATCCGAGTCTCCAAAAGCGGGGAGAGGTCATTAGAGGAATCAGCTATGCTTCTGGCAAGCAGACCACAGCAAACTGAATATTAAGTGACTCTAATATTTTTGGGGTTTAGTTCATCCCTGATGCATCTATGTGGCATGGGAGGCTCTGTGCCCTGCACTGGACACACTAAAGGGCTGGGTGTAAAAGGATTGTCCGAGCCTGGACAAAAGATGGATACAGGCAGAATAAACCCCAGAAAACATTTCCAATGATATGGGATGCCTTCATAGGAGATCTGCTTGCTCTAGTTCCAATACAAGCTTTTTGGGAGGGAGGGAAGGCAGGGAGCACTGAGTGAAATTCCACACTGGAGGCCAGACCAGACCAGATGCGCCTAATCCTTTTCGGCCTTAAAAATCTCTGCAGAAGATTGTGGTGCCATTAGTCAACATGAATTGTGCTCTGCACCATGTGTTCAGTGGGGCCAGGTGTTGTAAGGTAATATTCATCGTAGTAGGGTTGTCACATTCTGGTCCTCATTATTGTGGAGCTCTCGGTATTAATTTGGGAAGAGAAATTCTAGTAACTCCTAGATTTATGAGCTCAAATCCCATTGGAAGTCAATGGGGCTTATGTTCCTAAAGTCCTTAGGTGATTTTGAAAAATCGTTTCCTTTCAGACTTTTAAATATGCTGGCCATTGTTGGTGTTTGGGTTTTTTTTAATCAAACTTTAACCTTAACTTAGAATTTCCTGTACACACACACACACGTACACACACTAAACTTTTTCTTATGTAATCACTGTGACTTGCCATCACAACATTTTGGTGGTGAATTTCCTTCTTTTTTAAGAAGAAAAAAAGCTAAATCTGGACTATTTATTCTCCATACAGTGGATGATGTCCTAGAATACATCCATGTTTCTTAGCATCACTTGTTCTTCCAGCTGACATGCAACAAAGTCTTTTTCTGATGAAAGCCAACCAGTTCGCTTCCACCTTCTAGGGACAGGTCTGTGGAGTTCATAAAGTCCTGGAACCCACGACAGCTGTCATCTCTATAATTAAAGGCATCTGAAGAGTAATAGGACCATCAAGGGCTGTGCTTGAAGATTCTAGAGCAATGCCAGGTTAAGAGTCCAATAGACAGCTTCCCTCTTCCACACTTGAGTAAGTCTTACAGGCTGAATGCTTTAGAAGCTCAGTTGTCTGAGCAATTGATGACTTGTATATTAGAACCCCATGGTTTATGGATAGGTTGAGCTTTTCCAGGGTTTGGGATCTGATGACCATCGTGCAAGTGTCCCAGTATGTGACGAGGACTCTCCAGTCACCTTTGCATGACTGACTGTTCTGATGTGAGCTGGAAAAGGGGCAAAGACTGGGCACTCTATGCTTCCTCCTTGAAGATTTACAGAGTCCCAGGACAGGAAGAACTGGGCAAAACCCCATCTCTTCCTCTCCCTGCCCACAGCCTCCAGAAGGAAAGATGGGCACAGGTGAAAGTAACAACTCACCCACCTTGAAAACTGCTAGTCTCAGTGGGAGGCAGGTACAAGCTGTGCAGGGAACAGATTATCCTCTGACAGATCGTGGGCCTGTAGGTGGCACAATTCTGTTACAGAGATCAGGATAACTGTCCATCATGACAGCCGAAGGGGGAATCCCAAAGGAAGTTGCAGTCATTCGAAGAGACAGCTGGCTGAATGAAGCAACTACTGATAAGAGCTGCCAGAAATGTGCTCTGTCTATCCAGACAAGGTCCTTCAGTTAAATCTGATATCTTTTATTAGACCAACTCAAATAGTTGGAAAAATTCTTCTTTGAAAGCTTTCGGGCACAAACGCCCTTTGTCAGGCTGGGGAAGCATCTGCAGTCGGTCTCTGCTCTTATCCAGGCAGTGGGAGTTTTGGATAGAGCACCAAATTCTGATTCTGCACTGCCCTACAACTTCATCATTCATTTACCCCAATGTTAAGTGAGTGTGAAAATCTACCAGAGCAGAAGCGTGAGGTTTACACCTACTTTGCACTGATGTACATGACATGCGAGGCAATGGAAAGCCTGAGCCCTCCTCCATCTAAGCCTTCCAGCTCTTAAACCTAGTTGCTTCCCTGATCTCCAAACCCTGCAGACATTTAGCCTTGCCAGCTAGGGTGATTGTATCAAGACACTTGCAAAAGGTTGTGGAATCAGAAAAAAATATATGCCTTAAACTTTGATTATTTTAGTTATAAGATGACATAACCGCTTTGTGGAGAATTGCTGGCTCTGTATACTAGAACAGATAAGAGAAAGTGTTTGTTCTTTGTAACTCCTCTGCAACTGCTTCACTCACCGCGGCCTTGAAGATAGCAAAAAAGTATGTACAAATCTGATTTCCAGGTGCAAGAAGGAGGTTTGTGAACTAACCTCGCCTCCCCCATTAGTTCCCATCCTGATTACAGCAAAGAAATAATGAAGTAATATTATAGCCGCTTTTCATGCTAATTTCACTATATGATCACGTGAGTTGTAAGCAACTGTTAAAAAGTATATAAGCCTCCTGATTTTGCTCTTGGGGGGGGAACCCCTTCCAAGTGCTTGGGAAATCCATGTCACTTTGGAATCCCCCCCTACAGCTGTAGTTTCTTTTGAATAAAAGCTTCTGCTGACCTGACCCAAAAGTATGCTGCGTGTGTTTCCACGACAAGGTGTTTTCCTTAAAGCTTGAGGTCTTGGAGTCAAGTAATTACGTGAAAAA